TACTAACAAAAACTTTTTAGACAAGACGCTTCTTGTTGTCCCTGGTAGTTGCGGTGTTGTTGTCTTTAACCTATAATTCACACATGCCAGACTACATGTAGCATGTCTGGTTCTATCGTATCGTGACTAATCAGTAATATCTAGTAAAATGACTCACTCTGCTATACAGTAAAGACAGGGTTGTGCCTTTGCACATGTGAGTTTTTGGTGTCGTCCGCCCAGAACGCCCTAAAAAAAGAAAAAGAAAAAAGGCCCTTGTTATGCTAAAGCTGCCGCCCACACCAGATTAATCCTAGTCGTAAACTCATTCCAAGGGAAAAGACAGCAAGAAGTAAACTTGAAATACATGTTAGAAAATATTTTAGACAAGGCGCTTTTTTTTTGTCTCTAGTAGTCGCGGTGTTGTTGTCTTCGGGCTGGGTTGAGATAATGATCTCAGACGCAGTGACCTTGGATTTGTCGGAGCCAGAAGAGACGCAAGCCTCCTCATTGGAGGCGTCGTCAGCGGCTGGTAATCGGTGGCGTAATAGCTCGAGGAAGGAGTGGATTCCGTGCCTCCACATACGCGCTGGCATAGCGCAATTGCTTGCAAGCCGTCGAAGGGCCGGGCTAGCTGATGGATGCTGGCTGGCTAAGAAAAAGTCATGGTGTTCGCGAAGCAAAGTGTGATGAAGGGCAACAAGAGCTTGCCACCGGTCGTTGTTGAGTATGGGGCTCGATTCACTCTCACTGGCAGAGCTTTGGGCATTATCAACTTCGATACGCTTGCTCTCGACCAAGACAAGGCCAACATAGATGCCTTTTACCTCGGCGATAAGCTGCTCCTGGCTGATGGGACGTGTCTCAGGTTGCTTTATCATGCTCTCGGTGTTGTCAGCCACGGAACGAGGTTCGAATGATATCCTTGGGTGAAGAGAGAGGGGGGCTTCGCGGGCCTTGCTGCGATCCTCTTCGGGGGTCCATAGCCGACCTGCTTTCGGTGTTGGGCCTCGATCAAACTTCTCCTCAAAAGTTTGGGACATCGTTCCTTCGTGTATGGGAGGCTGTGGCACGCTCCGCTTAAGCGGCCTCGTACTGCCGTTGATTGTGCAGCGTTGTTGATCCGCTTCGTGGCGGCGCGAAAGATCCCGCTTCCGCTCCCGGGGACAGTTGTTGGTCTGGAAAGTTGTACGCTGCTGGACTTTGGTTGTCGTCATCTGTAACTGGCTTTGTAGGCTCTTCGTGGTAGGATATAGCAAGTGGAATCAAGCCAAATTCGATGCAGACGGGAAGAAAGTGGAAGGCGTGGCCAACGTCGGAGTTTTTCGTATAAACGAGTACGGCCCAAACAAGAGTGGGCAAGATAACCGATACAGCGCACCAAAAGCGTTGTCTGTAATACATGGAAAGTCAGTTATCTCTTGGAGGAAATGGTTTCCACAATTTGCGCGCATGATACCTGAGCAAGAAGGCGTGGTAGTAGAAAGACAACCCAGTAGTGATCGAAATCCAGAGCAAGAGGCAACTAGTTGTATGGCCAAATCAGCACAGTCGTACTTCTACACGAGTCATATGACAACCCACATAAAAGATGCAATCAAAGTCCAAGAGTGTCTTTCTTCTTGTGTCGTAAATGTAGCGGTGACAACAGCGATAACCGTCTCCATATGAAAGACCACTCCGCCAGCACTTGAAGTCATTGGTTTCGTACAAGCGGACCTCCTGTTTGATGAATCACGAGGTTTATTCGAAGGCATGGTCTTTTGTGAGGAGAGTAGAGGGGCTGTCAGTGTATAAGTTATGCTTATGGCGTTTCATTCGGATTTTGTAATGTAATAGATTAAACAACAAGCGGTAGGAAACGAGTGAAGATTTGTAGTACGGGTAGGTCCCGCGGCGATCTGAAGAAACAAACGCTAAAAAGGCCAAAAGTGTACATACAACACCAGGTATTCGCTGGTCGTCACCGACCCAACTACTAATCCGGCCCTCATTGGCTTATCTATGGGAGAGCGGACGGGATCCCGAGTTCTCCAATGGGTATGGTCGTATGTGAAAGAACTGCGTGTTTTGAGTATCTATAATGGTACTTCTTGAGGTGAAGAGAGTGGCGGTTGAGGGCAAAAATACATAGAACTGGAAGGCCAATACCAGAGACGCCTGGCCAGGTGCGTCTCGTTTTCTTATGGCGTGTCTCGGCTTGATTACTATTTATAGTGGTCGTTGTGGCGTAGGTACAAAGGTCGGCTGTGCCGTAGATGTGGTCGTTGGCATTGAGCTTCACTATCGATCTTGCGAGTACCAAATCGTCCAGCTTTCCGTTCTCCAAATTCTCTTCTTGATCAAAACTTATTATTTTGCTATGGCACACAAGTTTCGGACAGAGGCGTGTGGTATGGGCCTTTGTAGTAACCGCAGCGGTTGACGATGATCCTCATCAACGACATGGCATCTGCGCTTTTGCTGGCTATGCCAGTTACACTGAGTACTATTGCCTCCAGAACATATGCCTTAGGTGCCACCAGACAGGTGCTCCTGCAGAAGACGTACTATCAAGAAATCAAAGCGAAAATATCGGCCAACACAGTCGTGCCACCATAAAGGGGCGAGTAGGTGCTGGCGGACTTCAGGGAACAGGTCAAGATACACAACAAGATAACAAGATATTGAAGATAGAGGGAGTGATTTCATGCAATGGCTTTTATGTAGTTATGCGACTTGACAGAAGTTTTCCAGTTCTTTTCCAATTCACACAGATTAATCCTCCAAATGGTCAAACCTGTTTGTGATTCGAATGAAAACTCAGGAAGAAAAGGTAATCAAGTTCAACTGACAGCATCTCGCAAGAGAAAGAGGAGAATAAAATAACGGTTTCATTATTGCTTTCCAGCACTGGTGTCATCTGCAGTGGCGTAGGTACCAAAGGTCAACGAGGTCTTCACTCTTGCATGGCGATAGGCACACTAGATTCACTGAGAAATTGACCAGGTCGAAAGATCGCCTTTTCTTAGTTTCCAAGGCTTCTTCCTCTATTCAAATAAACTCTAAGGCAGATGCTGAAGCTTTGTAGGAAATGTCCACTGTAATCAATTCTACTCTGGTATCACCAGAACTTCGGTATAAGGCGTTTCATGGCAGGCTGTAGCGCAGATTCCCCATCCACTAGAAGTAAAAGTAATCCTACACAATTCTGCTAATAAATCTGACTAAACCTGGACCCGTGATGCCGTTAAGCAAGTTCTGTAGCGTTAACAGTATCACAGGTTGATGTAATACACAGTTTTGCATCAGGCTTGGGAAACCGACTATCCAAGGTCCTTGAGATCCAAGAAGTTCCGAATTTTCCTGTTAGAACATCAATTTCACCTGATCGTACGACATTCCATAATTCAGTACACAAGGGACAAAGGTCATCAGATTAGACACCCAGACCTCAGTAGGAATCATTGTACGAACGGACTGGACTGACTTAACCACATATGACTGAGTACATAACTATTGTACGTCAGCTATAAATTGTAGTTGGAAAAGAGTAGTCACCGAACAATAGTTTGATTTACCCCTATTTCTGAGTACATGCATGTACAGAGCCCTTTCAACACCTGTGGTCATCATTTTTCCTAACAATTTCTCCCCGCACATCTATGGTTTAGCGCCTGATCCACGAGAGTCATGGTCTTTCTCTGCTTTTTCGAACACGGTTGAGTATCCAAGTTGGCTGTTTGTTTCACAAATAAGGCGTATTGAGACCAGGGTGCGATACCCGAGGAGTAATATCTTTAACGCGCATGTAACCGTTCGGCACTATATCATTGGGAAGAGAGGGCTTGGTCATTGTATCCTGTGCCGCCTCATTGGTCATGTGTCCTATCTTATGCACGAAAAGCCACCACGTAGCCCCCAATATGCACTAGAGTCCTGGCCGCAGAAATAAGAGCCGGCAATAACGACAGAAACCATCTCGACCTCGATGCCAAATGCGTAAACATCTCTATACCCAATCGCGAACCAGTCGTGGTTGTCCGTCACGATGTTTGACACCGCCACCCAATCCGAGAAGAACACTGGCAATTTGTTGTCGGCGCCAGTCCGCCCAGGCCCAGACAACAGCATAGAAGCGGAAGCTGCGCATCACTATGTCATCGACCCCGCGGCCGAGGCGAGACTGGTCCGCAAGCAGGACCTGCGAGTGCTCCCGATGGTCTTCCTCATGTACTTCCTCACTTTCCTCGACCGAACGAACCTCGGCAACGCAAAAGTAGCAGGCATAGAAGCAGACCTAGGGCTGGGAGCATATGGCTTCAACGTCGGCGCCTGCCTCTACTATGGCATCTATTTCTTCGCCGATATTCCCGCGTCGTTGAGCGTCAAGAAGTTTGGGTTCATCATGCTGCCCATCAGTTGCATTGCCTTTGGCATCGTCACTCTCTGCACCGCTTTCATTCATAACGAAGGGAGCTTCTACGCGATTCGGCTGCTTCTCGGGCTCAGCGAATCTTTCCAGTTCCCAGGACTCAACTATGTGGTTTCTCGTTTCTATCGCCGCAGGGAAGTGACGACTCGGGTGTCTTTCTTCATGCTCGCCGCTGCAGGCTTGTCGAGTGCTTTTGGCGGTCTTCTCGCTTCGGGACTGCTATCGCTCGGAAGCATTGGGTCTGTCTCTTCGTGGAGGAACATATTCTTGGTTGAGGGGCACGTAACCTGTTACTTCCTTTCTTTAGGCTGTGCTTTGGAATGCATCGTTAACAGCCCAGTCAAGGATAATCACCATTGGCGTTGGAATCCTTTCGCTATACCTGTTTCCAGCGGATCCTTCCAAGACGCGCACTTTCAACGAGGAAGAGCGAGCCCTTGCAATGGCCCGCATTTTCCACGATCAGCCTGCGATTTGTGAGCACAAAGAGAAGATCACTTGGGGACTCATCAAACGCGGCGTGGTAAACGTCAACGTTCTTGTCGGCGCCTGGATACACATATGTGACCAAATCACAGTGCAAGGCCTGTCAATCTTCACGGTCACGATTCTCAAACTCAACTATCCAGGCCGCTCGACTGTGGAAATTCAGCTGTTGTCGGTGCCTCCACCCATCTTCGGAATGATCTTCGGCCTCAGCGTCGCATACATCACTATGAAAACGCGCATGCACGGAGTCGCCATTGCCGTGTGCGCGACCCTGAATGTCATCGGATATTCCATATGGCTGACCTCAACAAACGCGCAAGCGAGATATGCCGCAATCTTCCTCAACATCGCGGGAGGTTACAGTTTTGGCACGTTGGTTGGTTGATACACGATGGGTACAGCAACGCAGTGAACCTCCAGCTTACCAAGTTGTATATAGATTATCAGCTGGACTCTGGCTAATGCAGCTCCTGATACAATGCGAAACGTAGCAAACGGTGCTGTTTCTGGCCTGGCCAACATCGGTAAGTCTACATCGCAGGTAAATGGCCACGAGAACCGCCTAACACAAGTGAAGGATCGATCACCGCCACCTGGAGTTATATCAACACCGATGCGAAGACAGGCTATCGCATTGGCAATACTCTGAACATGGCTACTGCAGCATCTGTTATCGTTGCATCCCTGGGACTAGCAGTCTATCAGAAATGGGAGAATAAAAAGCGTGCGCAAGGTGGACGTGATTATAGAGTGGAGGCTGCCGAAGACAGGGTTGCTACACTTGGTTATCTCCATCCGGAGTTCAGGTATATCAACTGATGTGTATGATGACATGGAAATTCGTATTCCGAATGGTCTGCTCACCCTCGAACCTTGTTTCCTTACCTGGGCAGCTTTCAGCTGGGCGACAATTAATAACCCACAATCGATGACACGATCAGTCGGTGTGGCCATTGCAAGCAGCCATCCAATGGCCTTACGTACAAAACTGTGGAACGTAACCCATGCGATAAGAACTTTCGGGCTCTCGGAGTCAAGCCGCTAGCACTTACTTCCGGTAGCCAATTGGTAGTAGAGGCGGTCCCAATCTAAGCTTTCTGATCGACTGGTTTCGTAGGATCCGAACCGTCACTAAGCCATTCTTATCTTGTATGGGTATCAAATGACGTCTCAGTTACACAAGTATGCAGGATTGCGGTACGGCTATCCACTTTGGGGACGTTCCATTTGACGATGTTACTGAAGGGATCCCCATACAGAACAAGCTTGCACACTACGGAGTAGTTCAACTAGGGTGCACGTCCTATATCCAATAGTATGGTGTGGGGCGTCAAAGTGAACCAATCTCGCAAAAGAGTGGTAGCTAGAGCGACCAGTGTTTTTGGTGGTTTCAACTTTATTTGCTCTGCGGTGTCGTAAAAGCCTGTGGTGATTCAATGGTTTCTACAAGATAACTGACTCAAGTTAGGACTGGTGGCCGGAAGGGAAGCTGGCTGTCTCGTATTCAAGAGCAAGTTTTCGCCTCATTCACTGATGTACGCACGTGTACGAATGCTCTAGGCCACTCAACGTATTGTGGGACTAAATCAGAAGATAATATTCATTGCGAATGGAAGTGGCATCGTATGGGTCAGAAACACGACTCGGAGTCAGACCGACTTGTGTTTCTCGAGTGATATCATTGCGAAACCGGGCAATGTGATCACATCGTTCCTACACCTGGTCTGAGCCGCCTGACCCGACAGCTCTGATTATTTGGTAAGTTGCTCAAATCCAGCTAGCGTCGCTGACATGGCTGCCATTTGCCCGAACGCTCAAAGAATGCATTCTGTCGCTTTTGATACCAGGTGGATTAATCCATCTTGGACTGTGGATCAATTATAAGCCTTGGCCCGAAAGAACCGACCTCTTCACTTGACGATCGATCTGCAGCTAATGCGCTGCCACTGTAGCCTTGGTCGATCTCGTTGGACTATGTTTAGTGGGCGCGGACGCAACGCGGTTTGTGATCGGCCGACTGGTGAGCTAAATTGCACCCCGCAACCGTGTTATTACAGGGTACATCTGATGTTGTGTAGTTGTGCAGTACCATGTTGTCATTGGACATATCATCGCATAGAGAAGCCTGACGATCCCGTGATTATGAGTTGGTCCGGGTTACCCCCATGCTTCCTTGCCTGTTTAGTGGATCAAGCCATCCGAACTATTAGGCTAAACTAGATTCGAACAATGGTGGACTCAGCAAGATTGAGAACCCGCACCAGGTCCTTAAACATTACCGCGAGTCGATCTCCCCTTGCTCTCGAGCATGCCCAATGTTCAGGCGAACCGGTTATATTTCATTACCCCTTCACCGCCAAAGACACTCTTTCCCCACGTGCTTCGTACGAACGAATGTAATGGTAAACTTCGACCCGTTCCCAGATCCTCCATCGCCCCGCTATACAAACTAAGAGTAGCAGACTCGACCATGTCACGGTCTTTACAGCAAATACGAGTTGGGGAAGCCCCAAGGTCGTTATGGCAATAGGCATACTGTGGTAGCTTGGGTACCGTACACGACCCAACCCTCCTTCCGGGGAGACATAAGATTAAAGTTACACTTTTTCAATAGCACTTTGCCTCTTAGGCCAGTGTCAGGACAACCCCACACATCCTCGGAAAGTCCCGGACATGCTGGAAGGGATGTCATGTTACCCATAAGTAGACTAGACAGAACCAACCCTCCCAAGCGGCTGAGGGTAAGCCCAAATACCCAGTGGCCCTTGTCTGTCTCACAGGCGGTATTCCGGTGGGATGCAGGGTCCTGCATGCAAGGCGATGTACGATGTAGATTCTTATCAGGCTTTGGGTTGCATGACTAGTGACTTTCAACTGATCGACAACATCTTGGCGAAAACAACACGTTTATTTTCGCTTCGTATTATACCGGACCTGATCCTCATCTTATACCGTGGAGGAATGGAGCCTGATCCACGAGGTCGCACATGGTCACTTGCGCGGACGAAATAGGCACCCAAACGGTATGTATCGTTGGCCACGGAAGATTCCCGACCCTGTGGCGCCTTTCCCCGCGGATTCTGTAGATTAGTGCCGAGTGACGACTGTGGGGCACTGATGGCATCTCGGGTTGAATTCTCGACAAGAAGCCACCAGGGACGCAAGTGACCATTACGCGAGTTCGAATTCCATCGGAGGGCCAAGGCGTAAGTGAACATTGAGGGAAACAAGATGTATTGAAATCTAGGCGACTAAAACCTTTGCCTGAGGTGAAAAGAAGCATGGCATCGTTTTTTATTATTAATATTCTTGTGAACTTATGTACCTCAATAGGCAAAAGACCGGGCTTGCAATGAAGGGAAAAACTATCATATCGACTCGTGCCACTAAGAAGATCACAAGCAGACCATTATGCAAAGCAATGTGTGTACATAAGTGTGTAAATATTAACACAGAATGTATGTGCATGTGACTAGCTATTACAAAATCGGTATCGGAATGATATCAGAAGCGAAGAGTTCCTTTCATATTACCACACTTCACTCAACATCCCCAGCATTAATCGCCACGATGATGAGTTCATCAACTGTGGGGCTTAGTTGGCTTCAGCACCTTGGGAGCCACACAGCTTCTCGCAGTAGTAGGTCATCTAGAAACAGTACCAGGTTAGCATGCCACTTCTGGCACCCAAGCACCGGGGTGAGATGAATATACCTCGTCACCGCCAATGTGCCAGCCGTCTGAGAGACATTGGATACCATCCTAGGGGCCAAGAGTTAGATCGACGTGTTCTCCGGGCTCGGGGGAATCGGCTGGTGGAACTCACAAAGTGGCAGTCGGGGCAAGTGTCCCACTGGTGGCTGCCAGTATGGCGGTTCCTGTAGTGGGTGCAGGCACATTGGGTTGCGTCGGTGGCGATCTCGTATTTAGTGTAGGACCCGTAGGCGATACCGCCAGGCGTTCCGTTGCCTGTGCTACCATATTGTCTGTTCCTGACACAGACAGCAGCGCTGTGCAGTTTAGCAAAGGCGCTGTTATCACTCGTCAGCAGATGTCTGATCGTCTATCGCCGCAATTTCTCATTTCCCTCATAGGGAGAAACGTACACGGCGGTCAAAGATGCAAAAGTGAAGAGGGTAGTGAGCTGCATTCTGGCTTGGAATCGATGTCGAGTATACTTGTGAGGACAAGATAGGAATTAGAGGAATGAAGGACTTGGGTGATTTGAGGCTACTGTACGAGTACCTTTTTTACTCTCGACGGCAGGTTCAGCTAGAGGCTCATATAGAGAAATATGTTCTGATCGCCGCTTACACCATCTCAGGGATATCACATCTCATGACCTTCACCTCTCGTGCCGTAGTTCCGTAGAGAATCAGAAAACAAATTACGCCCAAACTATCGGAACGCATTACGCGTCCCCTGTCAAGGTCGATTTCGGTAATTTCTGGCCTTGCGCACTGTTGCCGTCCATCACTCATCTCGACTGTGGACAATGCCGCAGCAGACCGTGACAGCATAGTGTGTTGGTTAACAACCGGTACTTCTTGGCCCAACCGCTCGATGGGACCGCTCGATGGATCCCGAATCGCATGATTTGGTACTGCCTAAACTCGATGAAGAAGGTGGACAATCCGATATCGTTTTGATGGTCTTTGCGGGCGGTCGAGGGGCTGTCCCTCACCTAGTCGAGTGGATAGGAAGTCATACCACGAGACTTGAGCTGTTCTAGTAAACGGGCCTGGGACTCCCCTGTCTCCGAAAGCGGGCAGACCTTGAGCTTGTCTGCACATCTCACCATGACTCGCAATGTTGACGCTGGACCCATTCGCATGGGTACGCCTGTGATAGGTTCGTCTTTCTGGGGTGAGCTTCACTCGTCGCGTTGTTGATACGACTGGCCAACCTCATATCGTGATGGGGGTAGATGAGTCTTGTTAGATTGAAGACGAGAAACTGCAATGTCCTCAAAGATGGCTCCGTGTATAAAGTCCTCGTTAAATTCCACCGTTTAGCAACCTTTCCTCACCCCTCATCCCTCAGTCTCCTCAGCCTCCACCCCTCTCACTCTCCGGTCCTCCTCACTCTCAGTCTTTGCTTTGCAACTACTACACTCGTAGTCTCATTTCTAATACAATGGTTTCTACTCGCTTCGTTACCCTCCTCACGGCCGCGGCCGCCGCTGTCAGCGCCGCCCCGGTTGCAAACCTAGATCTGCCCGCCGGGGTCCCCGCGCCGCCCTCCAACATCACCGAGGAGGCCGACCGCAGCCTCCGTAACGGCGAGCTTGTCGTCTTCGGAGCCGCGGGTCGCAGTAAGCCGAAACTCTCCAACTCCTTCTGTATGTCTCAACTCGCTAACATGGCGACATCGCCTCAGCCCACATCGTCACCGAGGACACCTGGAACCTGCTCATCAAGACCATGAACATCCTGCCTGAGCCCCCCGCCGTCGACGAAGAGTGGCTCAACTTCAAGCCCGATGACTTGAGCGAGATCCCCCACAACGCCACCGATCTCGACAAGCGCGACTGCAGCCGCGACATCCAGCTCATCATCGACAAGAACCAGCGCTTTGTCGACTGGGACGTGCAGATGTCCCCTGTTGTCATCGGCGCCGGCAGAGCGGGCATTGACATCACTATCGCCAAGTACTGGTCTATCACCAACAGCGTTAGTGTTAGCGCTGGCGTTGACTTCGGCTTTGTCAAGGACCGTCTCCAGTCCAGCCTTGGCGTCGATTACACCCGCTCATGGACCACGCAGCAGGGCTACCTCATCCGCGGAACTATTGATAACGGCTACACCGGCGTTGTCGTCAGCCGTCCTTGGACCAACCGCCGCTACGGACGTACCTACCAGGGATGCCCCGGCAGCCTCCGCCAGACTGGTACCTTCATGGCTGACTCCCACGAGGATGGCTCCTACGAGGGTGTCTCTTGGGTTGGTGGTGCTATCACTGCTTGCATCAAGAGACAGAGAGGCCTTCCTCTGACCCGCTGCCAGGGATCCGGCGAGTTCCGTTAAATGATCAACACTGAGGAGACCCTTGCTACCCCAACGTATAGTGGGAATGCTCATATCCACACCCTCGCTCGCGACTCGCGGCGCATCTTGTACAAAGTTGAGACTTAAGCTCCCATTTACATATTACTTTCTTCAATAATTTTCTTAGGGTAATTTATTTTGCTATGGAAACTAGCAGACTTTAAAGCCCGCGCAATGGGTTATAATTACAATAATTATTTGTTGTCCCACCTCATGAATCCACAACAAGGGCCGCGCTTTAAATTTATATATGGTACGCCTTTCGAACCATTTCTCATGAAACTAGTCGGACTGCGTTGAAAGCTGCATTGCCGTTGCTGCATGTGACTTCGCGTTGAACCACCTTTGAAAGTTACACTCATAAGCCTAAAAGATGTTATCTGCATCAAGTTCGCAACGGCCACCGCCATGACAGCTATGCTTATTATACAAGGCAGCTGCAATATGGTGATGGAAAAAGCAGCGAGAGTTCGACGCCGGTATGCTTGCTGTTTCCTAATTTTTAATCAAGTTGAAACACGTCGTTGGGCCGAGGGCCGTGAGGAGACCAATGCATAAGATTGCCATGGAGAATAGTCCTAGTTGCCGTTTGGCATGGTTCCAATGCAAGTTCCTTCGAGAGATTGCCAGGCAGGCAATATAGGGTAGACAGGAAAACCAAGCTATGTAGGCAACAAGATGCCAGTAGCATGTCAATATCGAGGAGCTTCTAAGGCTAAAAAAGCCGTTCAGGAGGATATCAAAACCGGTAAGAAGCTGGACGCAGATGCTCCAAACAGCCTGGAAGTGCTGTGTTAGTCTTATACAGGATAGAAACAGTGAAATGATTAAGCACTTCATCTTCTAAAGCTTTGATCTACTTATTGGAGCTGTTAGTTTCAAATAGATACTGACGTTGTAGTAGCTACTGCAGTATAAACGTTAGAAGCTTCCTATCTATCTACTATAGGAAGCAGTCAAAGGCCTTTAATGCTGTCTAGTCAATATAGTTTAGCACCCTATCTTGTCTACTTTCTAGCGACTATACGTCCACGTTCCTATCTTTGAAGGGGTTCTAGGTTAAAGACTAGCAGGGAGTAGAACACAACAAGAAGAGCCAAGCACTAGGTGGTCCTAGCTTGTCCCATCAGTACCTGCCAGCGTGTTAGATGTCAGTAATAAAGCATGGCGATCTGAGATTTGCGAGAAACGACGGTTTCCTCATCCTGATACCACCAACATCCGGGTTGGGCTGCAGTTCCCCAGGCACATCAAAGCACTGTGAAGGCCAGTTAAATGGCATGGCGCACGGTGTTTCTCTTTATAAATGATGTCATTCCTCGAGATGGCTGAAACTTGGGGAACTTTCTATGCTAGGTTTCTGCAATAAAGGCAGCAGCTGAGTATTCGATCAGCGAGTTTATATATGGAGCTAGGGTAAATATGAGGAATCGTGAATTTAAACAAAGGGGAAAGGTACTAATCCGAAGCCGCCTCCCACATAAACATCGTCACAGATACGGCCTCAGAATCTCCATGGTCTTCTCCCATACCTTCCTCTGCGCCTCGCCCCTCAAATCCCTCATGATCTCGCTCTTATCGACCACTTCACACTTGTGGTCCACCAGAAACAGCCCCCGCCGCCCCTCCTGCCCCCTCGTGTTCCTCCTTCCCCCTCCCTTCCTCTCACCACCGTCTATGACCCGAGGCCCGTCGCCGCCGCCGATCCCCCCGCTCGTCGCGACGTAGAGATGCCTCTCCCCAGCCTCCTTCTCGCTGAACCCCACCACCAGGAACAGCGGCCGCAGCAGGGCCGTCAGCGGTATCGGCGACCAGAGGCTCGGCACGTGGTACCGCACCATGTTGCCCGTGTCCACGGCCCCGGGCCAGTTGTGCACGAAGGTGACGGCGCCCTCGTTGCCCGGCTCCGCCGACAGCCGGTCGAGGAAGAGCGTGTTCATGACGGCCATGTGCGTCTGCGTCCGCACGCCGCCGAAGGCCCCCGGCCCCTCGAGGTTGAGGTCGTCCAGGAGGAGGCCACCCGCGCCGCCGCCGCCGCGGAGCATGCTGCCCGCGAGGACGGTGAGCACGCGCGCCGCCGGGGCGGCGCGCAGGAGGGGGAGCAGGTGCAGCGTGAAGAGCATGCGGCCATAGTACTCGAGCGCGTGCGTCACGTCCAGCCCCTCCACTGTGTCTGTTTGTTTCCCGACGCATTAGCGGCTTCCAGTATCAAAAATGAGACGAAATAGAGGTGAGAGAAAGGGGGAATAGAAGAGTGGGGTTTCGTCGTCGGTGGTGGTTCTTACTGTTCCTCCCGCCAAAGGGGGCATACCCCGCCGTCAGGCAAAGGAAGTCGAGCCGCGACTCCCTCGCCTTGATCCACTCGCAGATCCTCTTCGTCTCGGAGAGGAGCGAGACCTCACCCTCGACCCAGACGAGCTCGGCAGACGGGTTCCTCCGGCTCAGGTCCTCGAGCAGCGGCTTCGTGGCGGTCTCGGTGGCCTTGCGGCCGACGACGTACGCCTTTACGGGGAAGCCGAGGGAGACAAGCTCGACGAGAGTGAGTTTGCCGATGCCCGATGTTCCGCCGACGAAAACGGCTGTCCGTGGAACGGTCTCCGCTGTAAGCTGGGCGTTGGACCGCCGTACTTGGGCGATGGTGACCATATTTTTTGTTTTATTTCTCACGAGGGTTCAATTTAGTGAGAACGTAGAATAGATAGGATTGAGCTGTCGATATCCTTGCTGTTGCACGTTGATGGGTTGGTGATGGAAGCATGGGCAATTCACCGGCTTCAAGATGCAATCACTTTATAAATACTGGGATATCGTGGCTCGCATAGCTTCGGATTCCCGGAAGGGTTAGGTTGGGCAACTAGACTGCTACGAGCGCGCTAGCGGGAACGAGAACCCTTCGGCTTGCCCAATGTAATCGCGGCTTCACTCATCATGACTCCATCATTTTCAGCCGTGCTCGAGTCCGTTGAGCCATATTACGCAGGCGACTCTACTCGGGAGGGACACGATGATTGCCGTTTTGTGGACCCTCGCATTCCGAATCCGGTTTGCGAAGGTCCCACTCTAGGCCGGGCTTTCGGCCGATGATCTCCACTGAAATATGGCTGGTGGGGATTGGTGTTAGTGGCTTCAAAGGGTTGCGAGCAGCGAACAAACCAGACATCCGGGTGGACTAATAAACCGACCGAGGAGTCTCAACTCTAAGACTTTCTCAGGGGCATAGCCATCATGCGAGATTTTACCGTAGTCTTGTTACTCTCCTTGTCCGACCAACCAATCTCACTAGCCAGAGAATCAATGTTTCGTGATACGGGGCCGAATGGCGCCGCTGTTCTGCACCGTTAGGGGGGTTGGACGTTTCAATCCGTCGATCATCGGTCAAGAAGAACGTCAGTGGAGGCAACCGTTCTCAATCAGGTAGTTTAAGCGATACCATGCCAAAACAAATGCTATCAGTTGGGGACAAGGAGTTTTCAGTCATGATAAAGGAGGGATTGCGTTTAGCTACCAATATCTGGTCATGTTCGTCTTGGGCGATTGTCGAAGATTTCCCTTGGGCTTAGTTAGGGGCTGGGCAACCGGAAGCTTTTTTGCTTGTCTGTCTCGGCAGACAGTCGGAGGCTCGCAGTAGGGCGCCGAGCAGCCAAGTGCCAAGTACTGCAGGATTCGATGGCCAAGAATGTAACCTAGAAAGGGGCTAATGACCGGGTTTCAGCCTTAGTGGCGTATCCGCAAGGGCTAGAACAAGCTGAGCGAGTCTGATGCGGAGAAGACATGCCAAAATCTTTGGCCGGGACAAGCCAATCATTGCATATGTGATCCGAAGACGATGGTGCTAGGGGTTCTCATCCAGAGGTGCAAGCTGCCGTTTCTTTTGTTTGTTCTTTGCTTCTCGCAGGCTCGTTTGAGGAATGCTCGTTAGAGCACCTTTCAAGAGTCCGGTTCCAAGTTGAGAGCGGTCATAGCAGTGTCACGAGAGGCAACTGTCTGCGTTGCTCAATGAAGGCGTTACCTCCGCTGCGTCATTGGTGTTTGGCTAACAGACAGCGTAGACGCCGATGATCTTGCGGAAGCTGGAGGGACCGACTGACAAGCCAACAGGACGGGCAGTGTTGACGAAATATGAGCTGAGGTTGGACTTGGCTCGCGGTCGCTGGCTGCCATCGGCGTGGTTTATGCGTCGCAGAAGGACGATTGGAAACCCGAAAACTGGCAAGAGGTGACGACTGCTTGGTTTCCAAGACGACATTCGGAGGTCGCCAGGGGTGTGCCGGGCAAAAAACAAAATGGGTGGGTAAGGTGGGCAACGTCGCATTATTCTGCGTGGCCATCTCAATCGGAACTTGAGCGGGAGGACCGGCCGGCGGGCAGGCGTTGAGGAAGGGCTCTCGAGCGAGCTGTCACGGTACATCGTCCGTGTACCGCAGTCGTCACAACATCAGATGCGGTTGCGGTAGGCGCTGGGACTTGGCGTGATGAGGTGCGTCTGACGTTTGGGGCGCGCCAAGGAGCTCGAGATGAGGGCAGGCGGTGCCGATGGGAGGAGGTGGATACGGGCGGTGGAGAGGGCGGAGAGGGATGGATACGACGAATGAAGCATGTGGCGAAGGCGTGGGAATAGACGGTGAGGAGGACGAGAGAAGAAGAGACGACGGACGACGGAAGGCGAATGCGGCGTCGATGTCATTTGCGACGACGAAGATTGGCTGAAGGCCGAGAAGCGGAGGGCAGAGGCTTGTTGCAGGTCCCCTGACTTGCTTGCTTGGGGAAAGCGTGAGACATGCCCAGGCGGAGTCAGGAGGGTTCAAGACTTGGCGAGCGAGGCGCGCGGCCGGCGGAGGTGGTATTACTGTACGATCAACCTACCGTACCTGGGTACCGACCTAGAGAGCGTATGCGTACTCGGAACGGTACGTACAGCAGCCGACAACAGAGACAGGCGCTAAGCACAGGGAAGGAGCCTCCAGCACCGTACCGCCTGGATGGCACGCTTAGCACACTGTCACGCGTGTGCCACGGAGCGCACTGGCCAACTCTGCTCCCACATGGCGAGTCCAATCCATTGGCTCAGCCACACACGGGCGATCTCGCTTAGTCATCTCTCATCTCGCTATTCTCCGGGTCGTCGTGAGCAGGTTGTGGTTCGCATCCCGTTTTTCACTAGCATCTTTTCGTCGGTGCCCCCAACGGTTTGACTTGGCGACCATTGAAGCTCTTGGCCCTGCAAAAATCAGCTGTTCCCCTCCCCCAACTACTTCTCCCTGTCATCCCTTCTCATATCCCGTTCAACCCCGCGTAACCCAGCATAACCCAATGCCTCGCCAGTCTTGGCGCATTCGTCAAGCCTTTGGTTAAGCTCGATCATGGATCGTGCTGCGGTGACGGGTATGCGCGCAGGCTCCACGGGGCGACCTTGACTTTGCGGCCCCCTTCTCTTTGGCCACGGTCTGGAACTGGCTGCTTTCGCCTTTGGTGCGCCGTCTCAGCATGCGACGTTGGCTACAGGATTTGCGCCAAAGGAGCCCCTGTGTCGTCCGAATACAGTCTCTCTTTCTCTCGCCGTGTTTGAAGAAGAGGGAGGGAGGGAGGGAGGGACAGGCTGGCAGAAGATACACGGGTATGGGGTGTAGACCCAGGCCTTTGGTGATGGTTCATGGTTTATGGTTATGCATGCTCTAAAGGGCGTTAAGGTTAAGGTGTTGCCAATGAGCGATAAGGTTCTTGCCCATCAACTCTCCCCCTGACCTGCACCTGCCATCCGGTGGCTCCTTACCTGTCCAGTAACTCGTCTCCACTGTCTGTGGGCATCGCACCTTCCACCTCTTCTTGTACACGTACCAGTAGTGGAAGGAACTCATGAGACATGACACGTCACGTGCGTGGTTCGAGGTACATCCCCTCTCGCCCACCATCCGCACCGTCCAGAGGTACTTCCACACGAGCAGCTATGTCAAAGTCTTGGGTGCATCTCTCGGCTTCTTGGAACCTCCAAGAGCCTCATCTGTTGTTTCTTCTTGGACGCATATTCTCCGGCCTCACGTTGACGAACGCTAGTTCATCATTCCAAAAAACTTGTTTTTAGCTCTTTCGTCCTGCCGCCTCTGCTGGAAATTACCATCGCCATCGTTCAGGAAGGGTCATTTCCCGCGTCGATGCTGACAGCGGCTGGCCGTCGTCTCAACAAGGACATCAGCAATAGGCGACTTTGGGACGGGGCATCCACTCCGTCCGAACTACGGATACCAGTACCGAGACTTCGTTCGCTCGTCCCTCCAGCTCTCCCACATTGAGACTCATGCAACGCTCGCCCGCAAGGATCTTCTCATCCCTCGCCGCCGTGGCCAAGCACTGGACCGACAAAATGGCCATATTCCCCACACTTCCTTGAGCCCTCCGGAGCCTGGCAGTTTCACCCTGCCGAAGCACTCCCATCCTGTCATCGCGCGACAAGGGTCGACAAACGCCCCGGCCTTCTGCTCTCTTTCGCTCAGGTGCCCGACCCTCCCTCAGCCCATAGTCCAGATGACATACGGAGTACCGTTGCATTGGACGGGGAAGCTTGAAAGCGTCCCTGCTCTGTTCGCGAGAAACACGCCTGCGATACAGTGGGAAACGGGGCCGCCCATCCCCCAAACACAGGGAACCCTCAGCTTCACTAGGCCTGCTGCTCCGTCATTTTGCTTTTGGACCTCTCCGTGCTCCTCGACACCCTGGATGAAGCACCCGCCAAGATCCTCACCACGATTTTCTTCTTCGCCGCTTCGTTCGCTTCCGCATGGGCTCAACGGGACTGTTACTATTCTTGGATTGTCCAACTTAATCCTCCTCATATCGCTTGACTGCTCTCTGTCGCTTGCCAACTATATAGACATCATGCCATCGTGACACCAGTTCTTCTTTTTCTCGCCTCATTCCGTTTCCCTCCATCATCAAATTGCCTGTCCTTTCTTCACCACCTTTTACTTCTTCACCGTTCGTTTCGTTTCTTCCCCTAGAGGGCTGGTCCATACCTTTGTCTCAATAATCTACTTTACTTTTTCCCCCTCAAGACACGCTTCTATTCCTTCTTTCCTTCCACCCCCTTGTAGGCCTCCCACGCGCTGGTCCCGTAACCTACCTTCATTACAATGGCTTCCCGTATCTTTACCGCCGGCCTCTTCGCCGCCTCCGTCTCCCGGGTCCTCGCCTCGTGCGCCTACGGAACGCACATTGACCCCCGCGCCGAGGGTGGCGAGGTCAAAGTCAACAACTTTGCTTACACCGGTAGCACCGTGAGTACCAACACCCTCCGCCCCTCGCCAGGCGCTCTCCCCCCAAAGACTAACAGCGTTTGGTAGGGTCCCCTGAACTGGGTCGCTCTGGACACCACCGCCAACGCCCTTTGCGCCACCGGAACCACCCAGTCCCCCATCGACATGGTCGCCGGCGCCTTCAATGTTATCCCCGGAAACTCCATCAACCTTGAGATCCCTGATATGGCCGAGGGAACTGAGTTCGAGAACCTCGGAACCACCGTCGAAGTCATCGCCAAGGGCGGGTCGATGCAGGTCGCCGGCAGCAACTTCACCCTGCAGCAGTTCCACTTCCACTTGCCTAGCGAGCATCTCGATGCTGGAAAGAGCATGGCCATGGAGATGCACATGGTCTTCGAGGGCGCCAACCAAGAGATTGCCGTCATTGGCACTTACATCGACCTGGAGCAGGGTGCCGCCGCTGCCGCTCCCGTCGCTGAAGCCCCCGTCGCTGAGGCCCCCGTCACCGAGGGTGCTGCGGAAGGAAATGCTACCGTCGAGCGCCGCAGCAAGCTGTCACGCCGTGCCGCTGCTGGTGCCGCCGCTGCCGCCCCCGGGGCCATCCCTTTGATGGGTTTTACTCCTCTCAAGGCCGAGGCCGAGGCTGCCGCTTCCTCCAGCCTGCTCGAGACCGTTTTCTCATCCCTCGACGCCATCAAGGAGCCCGGAACCGTCACCAAGACTGGCGCCCTGAACATGCAGGAGGTTGTCAGCCTGCTCTCTGCCGGCAGCTTCCAGAGGTAAGACGCCGTGTTTGATCCCCTTCCTATGTGCACTGTCACTAACCGTGCTCCAAGCTACATGGGTTCCCTCACCACTCCCCCCTGCAGCGAGGGTGTCCAGTGGCTTGTCTCGACCCAGCGCCTCATGGTCAAGCCCGAGACTTTTGTCGCCGTCCGGGATGTCATTGGCTTCAACTCTCGGTTCCCTCAGAACACCCTTGGCCAGGAGAACATCCTTCAGGTTGCCCAGAAGACCATCGCCGCTGCCAACATTGCCAACCCCGTTGTAGCTGCGCCTGTCGCCGCGGCACCTGCCGCCGAGGTCCCCGCCGCCGAGGCCCCCGCCGCCGAGGCCCCCGCTGCTGAGGCTCCCGCTGCCGAGGCTCCCGCCGAGGCTCCTAAGGCTGCACCCGCTGCTGGCCATGCATAAATCACCAAGCGCGACTGACGACGACAGCTAGCGAGGGATTCAGCGGCCGGATGGAGTTTTGAGACTCCCAGCACAGTAGAAGGAACCAGGACATATGACGATCATTGATATCTGTTCCGAGTCCAACTGTAATCTAATGATGGGCGAGGAGGGGAGCACCCAGCCAGAAAGACCCCAGGTACAGCATGTACAATGGAGACAAGGCTACTATGTCGCCGGGCAGCTGCGCGCATGCCTACAAGCTGGACTAATCTACGAGCAAAGTTTGTACCTGGGCATATCTCTATTCTTCGCTTGTGCCGATTGGCCACCAGGGGTGATATGGATCTATCAATGATTGCCTTGTAACGCCTGGTCTTGCAAATCCGGCAAGCCGACTGATGTTCCAGGCCTCACGCGTGAGGGAAATGATGAAGTCGGTTAGCAAAACAGTTATAGACGAAGGGTAGATACCACGGGGTTCCAGAGTCCCGATGTACCATAGTTCATTGAGTCAAGATAAAATAACAATGATCGCATCAAGGAGAAGAGTTTGTGTATCTGTGTGCACCTAGCCCTCGGGGAATCCACAACGAACAAATCATCTTGCAACGCTTTCAAAGAAATCAAAAGCGGCTTTGGACGTAGCACGTGTCGAACTGGAGGCAACACTCCGAATTGGAAAAAGGAAAGAAAAAAAAAAGAACATAAAAAAGTGTCGAGAAATTGGGGGCCCCCTAAAAAGACAATGGGAATCAACTTCCGGAATGCATAACCGCGATGAGGTTTCCCTCCCGAGACGGCAGCGTTTGGCCAAGATATACCAAGGCCACGGAAATAGCAGCGGGATGAATGCGCTTTCTTTCCCCCCAACACCCACCGTCCGACTTGCCTCGCCTTGGTTGTGTAGGAAACTAAGACAATTCTATCCTTTTTTTCTTTCTCTTTTCTTCTCTTCTAAAAATCTTCCGGACACAGGTATGCGCTCACGAGGTCCCTTGGCTTGGCGGCTTTATCGTCTTCTGTCGTGAGAGAGAGAGAGAGATAGAGAGAGAGAGAGAGAGAGGGGCCGCCCATGCCCTACTCCTCCCGTTCTTCCTCGCTTCAACAACACCCGTCCGAGTCGTTGCCGGCAGGGTTGCGGCAGGGAGTGGCATGGTAATAGAGAGGGGTGAGGGAGCAAGAGAAGCGCGAGTCGTGGTGGCACAGGGCACACCATACGAGACACTCACCCACACATACACGTACTTGTTCGCACTGCCGCACCGTCATATCCCAGCCGTCGGATTTCTGTTCCGAGAGCATCTCGAGTCGGTCGGTTCGGCAGACAGCCGAGGCGTGCGGGGGAGGGGGGAGAGGGAGCCAAGACGTCGGGACTTTTTTCTTGGCGTTGTCGATTCCGTGTTTTTTTGTTCTTTTTCTTTTTTCTTTTCTTCTAATATAGGACTTTCAAGACACACATTACTAACGGAGCTTACGCGGCGCTCTCTCGTCCTGTGACGAACAGTAACCCGTATGTTGTCTTCTGCGTGGGGGGTAATACAAAAAATACTCACATTTCGGGAAACGTTGCGCTTTCCCGGCTCGCCCTTTGCTTCGGGAGGGTTCTTTTTCTCCCCCGTAGCAACAGCGGCGGCAGAACCCAAGTAAGCTGCTTCTCGCGGCGATCTTTTTGTTTTTGGCAGGAGGGACGGGTAGGTTTGAGTTTTTTTATCCGCAGGGGTGTTGGGACGACCGGTACGATGGGGTGGGTTTTAGGGCCTCCTTGATCTCCCTGCCATCATACGCCTAGATTCCCTACGCACCACGGACGAGACCGGACTGAGTTTCGCGTTCCCTTCTGCTTCTCCTCCTACTCCTTCCCCTACTCCTCCTCCTCCTGATCGTCCTCGATGCAAGGTTGCGGAGCTGAGATGTGAGGAAGGGGGGCGGTGGCAGGTGTTTACGCGCCGTCGGGTTGTACGCAAATCACTCTCCAACACTTTTAATCATAGGATGGCCCCGCTCTTCCGTATGATTGACCAAATAGAGCCGCCGGGCTAGCGTCTATAGTACTTTGTAGTAAGGTTTAAGGTTACTGAGTGACAGGAGGAAGTGTGTGTGTTGGCAGGCGGGCGGGTGGATGTGAGGGATGGGTCCAGCCAGACAATTGGTCCCGCTATTTTCCGGCGCCGAAGGGCCCGGTGAGGTGGGGCCGAAGAGGTTTGGTGCCTTGCCTCGGTGGTGAACGGTGTGTCTTCCGGCAAGGCGCTTTGGGGGGGGGGTTCGGAAAGGTAATTAGAACACGTCCATTCCGGGGACGGACTCGATAGATTACCTAGATCTGGGCGTTTCGTTCGAACGGTCGTCCAACTCGCAGTCATTGAACACCCTGCGGCCAGCACCGCCGGAGGATCCCCGGGAGGAGCGCAGAGAAGGAGTACAGGGGACATTTCGGCGAGATGGTGAGAAAATAATTGTTCGGAGAGGTAGTTAAGCCCCTCGCAGTGCTACGGGATACGTCGGCGGGCGGCGGGCCGCTGGTGGACTTGTAGTTTTGGATGGCGCCCAATACGGAGCTGGCTAAGCGGAGAAGTCGAGATGGGAAGAAGTCGAGGAGGGGGGAGGCGAGAGCATGGAGGGGTATTTGAAAAGAGAGTTGACGAAGTTGGGGCTGCGAAAGGGGCACGATGCGACACTGTTTCGTGTAGCAGAAACCCACACCAAGCTTGACACGCGACGCAAGCCAACGGCCGCCAAACCCCACGATAGTAGATTGGCTTGACTGCAATGCCGTATCTTTGGGCTCGGAAGAAAGACGGCATCATCCCTCCATGCTGGCCGACGCGTATCCACGATTGGTGCGGTGCATGGGGGAAGCGAGGTCGAGGCAAAAGGGGACTTCGCCTAGCATACTTCTCTGTCCTCCGTCTGGTAGAACCTACTTACCAACATTCACTTTCCGGCCTTTATTGTCTTACAAAAACCACGCCCCACGAGACCTTTGGCGCGACTTTTGCCTCGACACGCGCAGCATGGCGTGAACAGCCGCAATTCGCCCCGCAACGGACTTGCAGCCAACAGTTCCCTAAGCAAAAGAGGGGGGGGGGGGGGGGGGGGGGGGGGCACCATCGATGTGGCCGGCTCTGCTTCGAGGCTACCCACCCGCGTCCTTTTTGTTATTGAAAAAGGAATCATGTTCCTTCGGTGAACCGGAATCCTCGTGTGGGCTCCATGGAGACTTTCCCCTCAAGTGCGTATAAGCGTACCGACCGATCAAGTCTAGCTCCAACGGGCCCCACCCGGCGGCGGCCGGCATCGGCAGCTTCGGTAGAGGACGAGGGGGGGGTTATATGTGTGTGTGTAGGTGATTGCTATAGGTATGAAGGTGAAGGTGCAGAGTCGACGTCAACGGCGCCGACTAGTGCGGGCGGGGCGCGTGCGGTGGGGGGGAGTCGCATCGGTAATGGGAGGCGCCGTTTCCGCAACGGTCTGGAACCCTTTTTTGGCTCCAACTTCACGTGGGCGCGCGCTGCGTTGGACGTTGACGTTAATCCGCGTGGCAGACTGGGGTCAGTCGGTCAGCCTGCATGCAGCAGGATACAACCCTGTTCCGGGGTCATTCGGACTCGTGCTTGCGTGGTTGTCGCTGGTTGTTCGAGATGCCGGTGAAGGGTCTCGAGATAAAGCCTCGAGTTGGACGTCTTCGACTTTCTTTGTCGCTTTGCCAGCGGGGGAAGGAGAAAAAACAAAACAAAAAGAAACCGAACCGACCATGCTCATCCCGTGACAGCCTTATCTTTTTCACGAACTCGGCCACGTCATCGGTGGGCGAGACAGGAGGGCCACCCTTACTCCTCCTCCAGATCCCAGCGCCGGATCGCGCACAAATAGAGGGGAGCCGCCTCGCCTTTTGTCCGCCGCCGAGGTCTGTTGTCCCTCCAAGTCCTTCTTGAGACAGAGAGTCGGGAAAGGCGAAGCCAAAAAAAGAAAGAAAAGACCAAAAAAAAAAAACCGATGCCCTTCCCGGTCCTCTCCAAAGAACCGTTTCCCCGACTCTCCCTCTCGGCGGCGGGCCTCGTCGCCCTCGCCGACCTCCAGACCATCGCCAACCGCACCGCGCTCACGGGGACGTCCTCCTGGTTCGACGCCCTGGTCCTCGCCCCGGGCTTGCACTACCAGCAGGCGGCCGACGGCGTCGCGGGGAACGCCGTCACCGCCGAGACCTCCTCGGGAACCCCCTGCATCTTCGGCACGCAGGCGCTCCCCGGCGGGCGGAGGATAGACGTCCGGGTCACGAACCCGGGGATGCTGCTCTTCCTGTCGCGGCTCGGGGTCCGGGAGGAGCGCGCGCGGCAGCGGGAGATCAAGAGGAGGAAGAGGGCCGGCGACGGCGGCAGAATCGAAGCTTTCGGGGTCGGCGCCGAGGACGGCGGGGTCGGCGAGAGGATCGTCACCCTCGACGTCGGCACCCTCGGCCGCCGGGGCCAGAGGCGCGGCCGGGCCTTCGCGCACGACGCCGACGGGGAGTTTGAGCGCGCCAGCCACCTGCTCTACCTCACGACCCCGGCCCTCACCCTCGCGGCTCTGACAATCATGGCCTTGCTAGCGGACTGTGAGTGCTCCGCTCATCCTCTTCACGAGGAATTCACCCCTCCCCCCCTAAAAACCCCTCTTCCAGCCCCTCCGGAAGGGGACTCTTTCATGCTAAACGTTGTGAACCAGGGTGGGGTCTCTCCTTGATCCTGGCTCTCGTCGCCTCCCGCGTCCTCAATATCTACGTCATCAAACAACGCACGCCCCCGCCCCCTCCCCCTCCGCCGCCGACGACCTCGCCGTCGTCCCCCGCCAAGCTCTCCGAGTATACCGTCCCGCTCTCGCCGACGCTCAAGGTGCGCATGCGCGGCCCGGCCGCCGACCTCGCCGCCGTGACGACCGACGCCTGGCTCCTCTCCAAGACGGCCGCGCAGGGCTACCTCGAGGCCGCGGCGAAGCTGGTCGTGTACATGGTGGCCGTCTTCAGCGGCAACGTCTCGCAGGCGGGGAACTTCGTGCTGCTGGTGCTGCTGCTCGTCAGCGCCGGCCTGCTCGGGCTGAGCAACGGGTTCTTCAACGGCGTCCGGGCCCGGGGGCGCGTCGCCAGGGTGTGGGACGGGGACGGGCACGGAGCGAACGCGAGCGCCGGGGGACCCGGGGTAGGCAACCGACGGGACGAGGGGAACGGGGCCGGCGCGGTGGACTGGGATGCGCAGGTGGGAAGGGTCATCATGGATCCCTATCCTTTCGAGAGAGACGTCGAGTATTCGTAGCATGAGGAAGAGAGACTGGGCTAGGCGTTGGGCCAAGTTCGTGAACATGACAACGAGGCATTGGAAACAGCGGCGTTGTGGTTGATGAGGAAGGAAAATAGCCGGGGGGGGCGGGATCCGGCAAACACACGCGGTTCACCACCGCAGCACGCCCGCCTGTTGAGGTGCCCATCGAACCCGAGAAGCTCCTCGAGAACCTGCGCGTTCCCCGCCGGCGCTGACCGCACCTCTTCCAGCAACCTACACCAGAGCCCATCCCCGGGGGTGGCTATTAAGACGGGTTTCCCTGGTTCGTATACAATGGCGTCTTCCCTGTTCAACATACACCACCACTATTACCACTGCCGCCAAAACAGAAACAAGCCCATCTTACGCCTGCACGCGAAGTCGATTTCCTACCGCGACAAGAACCCGCGTCCGTCGACCGGAACCGAGCGCAACTGGTCACGCAATGGCATCCTCAGCCAACCCCTGTCCTTGCGCCGCCGCCGTCCCTGCCATTCCTAGCACACGTCGCCACAACGACGACGATGGCAGTGGGCGGCGGCGTCGGCGGCGTCGGCGGTGGCGCCGACCTGCAATAATGCCGACTCATCTCCGGTCCGGCCGTCGGAATGGTGGTGGGGAAGGAAATGTCGCGAAGGGACCGCGACTATGCCTCGGGCCGAGCGGTGGACGTGACGTACGTCACCCCCCGATGGAATGTGTACGCTACCCCACTGGCATCCATGTCGCCAGCTTGGAATGCATGTGTCACTCCCATGGATTGTGTTCCATACCCCCCGTGGCATGTATGCATGTCACCACCGTCGTTTTCGGAGGACTCTCCGGTGGATTTTGTCCGTATCCGAGGCTTCCGGTGGACGACGTCGGATCATCGTCAAAGCTTCTCCGTCCCGCGTCGCCGCGGTAGGCAGCGAACGGGGGGTTGCGGCGGGTGTGAGGGTTTTTCTGCGAATACCTTTCTTTCTGAGCACGCTTGATGTTTGGCGGTGAAAGAGATTCGAGCGCCCCGTGTGAAAAAGATCCCCATGGGAGGCTTGAGCAGCCGGGTATGGGGGAAACAACAGATGCAGCAGACGGACGCCCGCGCCCTCGTTGCCGTGTTGGTGGCCATCATGTCAGTTCATCAACGGACGAAGGACAGCGGCAGCAATCAACATGGATCAGAGGCGAGAATACGGTGCGGCACTGGGCCATTTGGGAGGGCGTTTCCTTCTCTACCTAGACCACATTACGCTCAGGCAGTAACCGAACCATGCTCTAAACCGAAAAGGCATTCATCAAGTTTTCCTTTCTTCCATGAGAATCCCGCCCCCCTGACCTGCTTCCCATCCACTCCTCTACTCCATGCTGCCAAAGACTTGTACAATAAGTTGAGGAAGAAGAAAAAAAATCCAAAAAGGGTATATATACCAAAAAAACCAGACACGTCGCGCGCTATTCGCCCTCCCCCCTCTTCCCTTTCTCGTAAAGGCTTCCCGTATGCCCTCCGTCTAGAAAGAAAACAACGCTTGTAATACGATACAAAATTTATAACAAAAGTACAAGAAGAAGAAAAAAAATGGTGGCATAATGGAGGGGGAAAATACTGATATTATTACATGGACCAGTCACTCGTCAGTGCCTCCTCGCAGCACCGGACAATCTCGCAGAGGGACCGTAGCACGAGCGGGTCCACGTCGCTGGCCGCGTCGCCCGCAATGGGGCCTTCGGTCGCCCCCTCGGCGCGCAGCGTCGTGACGAGCCGCGCGATGCACCGGTGCAGGCCGAGCTGCAGCTCCCGCAGCGATACGTCGGGCGCCGACGGCGCCGACGTCGTTGCGGCGGACGTGGCGCGTGGTAAGGACGGGAGCGGGGGCAGAGGCGGCAGAGGCGGCGCGGGATGGGTCGATTGCCGCGAGGCCGTGCGCAGACCGAGGAACATGCTCGACCGCTTCCGCAGCGGCCTCGGAGGCGCCGGCAGAGGGATGGCTTCGTGCCTGCCGCCCTCCAGCCCGAGCAGCGTCGCGGCCTTCTTGGGGATTGGTTCCTCCGTGCTAGCAGGGCTCCCGGGGCTCAGGGGTCTCGCTGTCGCCGCGGCGCCGTGGCCAAGGTTCATAACCATAGGTGCGAGGTAGTTGTACACGATTATGTGCGCGTAGAGCGCGTCGCACAGGTAGTCGGAGCCGTGGGGGAAAATGCTGCGGATGCGGGACCACTGGGGCGAGGCGAGGGTCGTGGTCGAGGGGGCTATGGTGGTAGGGAGCTCGACGCTCGAGGAGTTGCGGGAGCAGCAGCGGCGGCTGGCGTTGTTGTTACCACCGCCTAAGTTGTCGCTGCTAGTACCGACGTTGTCGCCGCCACCGCCGTTACCGTGATTCGAAGCTTTGCGGGAGGACAGCCAGCGCCAGCGTTTGGGCGAAGTCGGGGGCGTATCCGGGCGGAGTGACCCGAGGGGCGGCTGGCGGACCTTGCGGGAGTAGCTGCGTATCGTCTCAATAGAGAGGCTCGAGCAGAGAAGCATGGTCTCGGGGAAGCATGTCACGGAGACCCGGATGGACTCCATGACGTTGGGAGGTAGGGGAATGCGGCGGCTCTGGTCGTCGGAGGGGGGCGGCGGGATGTCGATGGGGTCCTCGAGCCATGTATACGAGGTGCTCACGGAGGACGTCGGCCGCGATCGGGTCTGGGTCTGGGAACTGGAACGGGACCGCCGCGTCGGGGTAGTGACCGCCCGCGAGACGCCGGAGCGGGAGCCTGTGCGCGGCGTCACAAGCAGAGGAGGGGCCAGGCCCCCGGGGGGAGCAACGTCATCATCTGCGTCGAGGTAGCGGAACCACGGCTCAAGTTCCTCCTTGAGGTCGGAGATGATGGAGCTGCGGTCCGCTGCCGGGGCGACGAACCGATCCGAGGCGTGCGAACGCGCACGACGGCGGGTGGTGGCAATGGCCTTGCGGGCGTCGTCCGTGAAGGAGACGCGATGGTTCAGGGACGAGCAGCGGGTGGGGACTGCAATGTCGACGGGGTTGAAAGAGTGCAGCGAGTGGTTTTGGTGCGAGTACGGCGCCTTGCCGGCCGCCGTCGTCGTCGGGTTCCCATGCAGACTCCGCGCACGGCTGGTGGGCCGCGTGTAGCCCTCAAACGGGTTAGACAGCCCGCGAGAGGTGACGGCGGCGTTGGCGCTTCTGGCCCGTTGCGGCGATGATTCGTTGATCGAACGGTCTCCCAATCGGGATAGTGGCCGCACCGGCTTCAGAGGCGTTGTGACGGGCGACTGCGCCAGGCTCTTGCCGAGTTCGGGGTGATCGACGGGGGCCTCGGGCTCAAAGTCAATCCAGCTCCTCGGGCTGCCCTCGACACCGGCCCCAAAGGAGACGACGCGCTTCTGCGAGGAGACCGTCGGTGCGGGCTGGCTCGAGACGGACAGGTTGGTGTCGGCGGTCAGGACGGACTGTTGGCGGATGTGCGGCGACTCGGCAGCGTCATCTTCGACGTCGTTGCCGGCCATGCTGAAGGAGTCGCCGCTCGAACTCGAGGCGTCGTCGGATATGTCGTGCTCGCTCGCCCCGCTGGCGGAGCTCTTCTCGTCAATGGCGCCCAGCGGTTGGAACTGCGGCACGCTGTTGGGGTGGCAGGGCGCGCCGAGGACGGCCGGGGGCTCGGCACCGCCGTGCCAGTCATCTTCGTCGGACGCGAGGGCGGGAGAGGGCGCGCCGGCCGTCATGTTCTTGGCGGCAAAGATGAGGCTCGAAAACTCGAGGTCCTGGGCCAGCAACTCCGGCAGGTTGCAGTCCACGGTCGGTTCCGTAGCTTCGGCCATGGCGCCGGCTCGGAGGCAAAAACGGTCGACCGGATATCTCGGCAAGGTGGCGGAGGAAATGAGAATATCGGTCTGCGGCAAGGACCGACGATGGCGTCGGCAATAGGGGAGATTGTGATGATGGCGGCGGTGAAGGTGCGGCTGGCACTGGTCAGGTCGAGACTCGGCTCGCGGCGATGGCGAAGAAAGGACAGTATGATGATGGCTGGCGATCGGCTGGGAGGCGGAACTGCAACTGTAACTGGAGCTGGAACAAGGACTGGAGCTGGAGCAAGGACTGGGGTTGGAGCTAGAGCTGAAACTGAAGCTGGAGCTGGAGCTGGTGCTGGAGCTGGAGGGCAGGGTCAGTGGCAAGAGGGTTTTCATGCTCCGGACGGAGCGTACTCGTCTCAGGACCGGCGAACGGGATGCTTTAAAGCTAGTTGGAGAGATGTTCCTTGCAGGGGGCGCTTTTTTTGTGTGTGGGTCAGGGAAGGGAGCTGGAACGTCTAACACGAACATGGGGTGCATACCACACGGGTTGACGGTTATGCCATTGGGCGGCCTTGTTGGAGAAAAGGGGAGAAGCTTCAGATCAGGGAGGCAGAGACGACAGGGAAGGGGATGGGGATGGGATGGAGATGGAGATGGGGGGAGGAAGGCAGCGTCGCAGTGTATCCGTACTGGCGTACACACTCGGCTACCATGGATGTGCAACACAATGTTCCAGTGCGAATGGACACCTAGAGCTGCCCACGTCCGTGGGCGGTGGGCACAATGCCGAGCAATAGGGCAGAGCAGGAGGCTAGCTCGCTACCAGGGACCAATGGTCCAAGTCCGCCGTCCCGTTGTTGAGTGCTGAGTGCGAGGGTTCCGAAAAATCCGTTTCTGTGTTCCGGCCCGGCGGCTCCCCCAATCTGGGAAACGGAAGAAGGGGTTCTCGGGGAGGGAGAGAGGAGGCTGGATGGGATCGGATTACTCCGTAGATAGATGAGAAAGGCAGGCTGAGAGGAAATGCTTTCCGCCGACGAAGGTCACGTCGAAGATAGATGAACGAGGAGGATATCTCATTTCGAGCGTTGTGCTGCGTTGCCTAACGGGGAGGGGGGGGGGGGGGAGGGGACGCTGCGTTATGTCGTGACACCCAAAGAGAGAAGCATAACAACAAAACAATAACAGGGACACGCCGAATGAAATGGCTTGCCGCTCATTGTTCGATGTAAGACAGCATGGGCTTGGCCACCGCCATCCTATTTCCCCTTGCCTGCCTCGTCGGTCCTCTTACATTGTAGCTGTAGCCAACCGGTCGCCCTCCACCACCCCACCTTGTCCCCTTTAGCTGCGAGCTTTCTTTTTCATGTTCTTCTCTTCTGCAGCCCCCCCAGAGAGTCGAGCCGACCTGCATTCCTTCCACAGAGAAAGAGAGGGAAGGGGGGAGAGGGGGAGAGAGAGATGATGATGTGAGCATGGAAACCCTGTCCTGCGACTCGGGGTTCGCGGTTTGGTAGGGCGGGCCGGGTCAGGGGGGACGGTTCCATCATCTGGCCTTTCTCTCGCTCTCTCTCACCCTCTCTAAACGTCGATAAACTAACTACATAGCGTTGTGGTGGAATGAAAATCATCATCGAGCAAGCATCCATCCCCGATTTTTCGGTCCACATCAGTCAGGTCAGTCGGAGAGCAAGCAGAAGCAAAATTCAATGGGCTCCAGTTCGGCGTCCAATAATGCTACACTAGCAGCGGGTTCTCGGTGCACATCTGCTCTGCATCCGGCACTTCGCGGGCCATATGGGTACAAAAGAGACGACGACACCATTCGCCAGAAAGCTTCGATGCGGTGGGCTTTCATCAAAGCTTATTCGGCTCTCTGTCCTACCGAGTCGCAAACCCAATGCCAATGAATGAGCGCCCTTGCCATGCGGTAGGTAGTACGGTACCTGTCCGTACCATGTAGTGACGGATGGAACATTCCAAGGGGCTTCCTCCCGAACCAACCATGCCGTGAACCCTGCCGGGCACGATTCACAGTCTCGCATCGGCCGAGCGCGGAACGGTAACCGTCATCGATCAAGTGACGGGCGAAAGAGGACAATCAAGCCCGGCTCCCGGGGGATATTCGTAGAAGATCGAGGGGTCGCGAGAACAGACTCGAACGGTTCCGTGGTACCAAAGACCTGCCCGCTGCCATGTAATCGCCTATTCCATAGTTGTGCAAGGTATCTGAGCACGGCCGAGGCGCGTGCGTATATACCTGCGCTAGTATGGTCTGGTGTATCCGTAATTGTGTTTGACAGCCTCCCGGAGCCTCCAGGCCGTTGGCTACGAACGTCGCAGATCCAGCGGGCTGTAATGCAAAATGCGGCACAAGCATCTGTGCAAAAGGGCCACTCAGTCCAGCCCAGGTCCAGCATGCCTATTCCGGCTTTCGCGAGCTCGGAAAGGTCACCTGTTGGGGAGAAGGAGATTGCTGGAGGGTGAGCGTGTTCACGAACGATGGCAGCCCTTCGTCTCGGCACTTCCTGGCCAGGAGGGTGTAGACGGACTAGTGGAGGGGTTGTCTCTCGACTCTCTCTCTCTGCCTTTTTGTTGTCCCCTTCCGAATCGAAGGCCCCTGCCAGGGATCAGCAGGAGATTGATGGTGGCGCAGCCTAACGAGACGAGGAGCAGGTCATGACAGGATGGCGAGAGGGACGCAACCCTGGCAACATGCCCGAGATGGCGATCTGGGTGGCCTCGTGGCGTGTAATGCGTGAGCGTACCCGTAATTCATAGAGCCGGGGGTATTCCGAGCGGACAACCGCACATGAAATTAGTGTACGAATACAGAATAGAGTAGTACTACGTGAGTACGTCGCTTGTTTGTATGTCTGGGAGGGAGTTTGCGCGAATCGCCAATCCAAATGTCGGCGTGACTCTCTTTCTCCGCCAACCCTGGATCCTCAACTGACCGCTTAATTGACCGACCGGCGGCCGGTCGGTCAGCCTCGGTCTACGCATCAGTCTCTTGTTGATAATAGTGTCAGTGATAGCAGTATGAGATTGGCGTGCGTGCTGCATCACGTCCCATTGGACGAAGCTCTATGTGTCTGCACCATGATGCAGAACTACCATAACAGTGCATCCGAAAGTATGGCCTGCTGCTTTCAACGGTTTTTGACCAGACAGGGGGGGCCCCCTTCTGTTGTGCGGAGTGTTCATACCTGTACTATCATAGAGGCAAGCGAGGCCTTACTGGACCAGACAAATGCGACGACGGGTGCCGACGGCAATGAGCAGGGAATGCCCCCTGCGTTTACCAGGGTTATGCAGGTCAGCAAACCGTGTTTTGGCGAAATTGAAGACCCAAAGAGTTACCCGTGACTGCGCGTCGTCGATAGTGGGACACTCGCGACGGAGAGGCGATGTTGACGGGTCTAATGGCCTGTATTAGTTTGGCGCTCTCGTCAGCCATCTGTGCCTCTCGTCGTCAGCGGGGATTGACAGACTTACCCACGTCTTGTCTCGGATGTTGGAAAGAGGCGCGGTGCGTATCGTCGATTAAGCAATAACGTCGTAGTGGCCAGCATATTGAATCGTGACCACAAGGACCGAGCACATGGGCCACAAGGTGAGCAACCGAGAAGAAAGAGAAAGAAAGAAAAAAAAAGAAAAAGGAAAACACACAGTAGAGTTTGCCCACATATGGCAAGACGAGGCAGTGGGCCCTTGGCTGGCGAGGCGAGCTGCAGGTGAGATGTGACAGTAATCATCCCGTATTATGCACACTACACGTGTGGCCACCCCCGATGCTGCTACCTTGGCACGTATAATGGCATGGTAGCTGGCGATCTTGGCATGAAGGCGACTTTGGCGGCGACATGATACTAACATTAATAGAGGAGGCTGAAAGGGGAGCGTGCTTGAGGACGTAAAACAAGCGCTATCTTGAGGTGTGTTGTTCCGCAACTGGCTAGACAACGTAGTATGATTGATGTTGGAGGCAAAGGTCTAACGGATGACAGAAGGAGTAGTTGGAGGAGGAGCAGGAGGAAGAGGTCGAACGGGCGGTGGGTTGACGAGGCATAGTGGTGCATCTGGTGGCGTGGGCTATTGCGGCAGCAGACAAGACACGTCTTTCTCGAAAACAGGGCAGAGAGAGTTGGCGATGGCGGTGATTGGAGTGTAGTGTAGCGTAGCGTAACTGTTAATGAAGGCGCCATTGGACTGATTGATTGATTGATTGATTGATTGAACGTTGACTATGCGAGTCTGAAAGTGGACGTTGCATCTAAGGGGAGGAGCTGAGACTTTAGCAGGTGCAGCAGCGCCGTTCCAAGGGCCCGCTTGGGACGGGACGGCCTGTTAGCGCGGCCAGGGCGGTGAGGAAGAGCGTCCTTGAGATGGCTGCTTGACCGCTGTAAGGGAGCCTCCGCCACTGGTGCGGGAGAGATGCTACAGCGAGCAGGCGCTCAGCTCGGGGGAGCTAACAGCACTGTGGGTGTGCTGTAAAAGATGGATAAGTAGGAGGTACCTGCAATCCGTCGCTCGCTGCTACGTACGGTACCTACCTACCTGCCTAGGTGATCACTTACCTAAGCAGACTGTGCGGCAGGTACTTACCCACGTAGCACATGTACCTACCTACCTAACTACCTACACTAATGCACGCTGACACATGAGGAAAGGGCCCATCCGGCGTGGTGGGGCGCTCCTTCCCCCCCGAACTCCAGTATCCCGTGGCGGAGACCCACCGGCTCGCTCCGTTCACTATCGATAATGTAATTTTTTCCATCGTCGCTGGCTGTGTCATGCAAGCCTCACAGCCTCATATCACCAAACAAACGCCTTCAAGCCTCCACGCTCGTTGCCTGGTAGCCGTCGTTGCTCAATGGTCCCGCATCTGCTTATCTTGAAGCCACAAGTACGCCGGCGTCTCCCCAACAAACTCGAATGAGGAACCAGCGCATCACTGTCCCCGGCCATTGGGTATCCGTACGCACACCGTTGCCTGCACTCTGAGTCCAGCCTCTCTCACCTTTTCC